GTTGATCCATCTCTACGGTCATCTGCTGGTCGTTGCTGCCACTGATTTCTTCTGTCTTGATAGTTGTAACCTCTTCCTTGTCCCCTGTAGTTGCCTTGATACCCTCGACCGGCTTGATTATTGTTGACATAATAATTATTACCGTATGATCTTCTGTTGTCAAGATTACCTGCGTTATCACGGTTGTTGTTCCTATACAGCTGTCCACTCCCTCGAGGATTGAAAGATCCTCGCCGTGCCTGTTGTCGTCTTTCATCTTCAACTGGGCAATTACGTATGAAATGTCCTACCTCTCCGCATCCATAGCATTTTGGCCCCTCTTGATCAATTTTGGCTGCATCGTTCACAACGGTGAATATCAATGGTTCTTCCCTGGCTGCCCCCTCACTGAACTTCTTTATTGATTCTTCGGCCTGTAATTCTCCCCCGTATGTTGCCAACCTGATTCTAGCGTGATCTCTCTCTCTGCGGCGAACCTTGTCCTCTCTTAATCTGTTCATTGCGTCTGTTTTTTCACTCTGGATCTCGGCTTCCAGTGCTATTTTCAATGCCTCCGCAAGGTTCCTGGGTTTCTGGGTTGAAACTGCAAATGATAGCTGCGGTGCAAGTCCTACAATGAATGTTTCCAGAGCCGCTGCATTTAGATCATTCTTCCGATATTGTTTTTGATTCGCTGGTAGTGCGCTCCTGTCAATGTTGTTAGTTGCTTGACTTCTCATACTTTCTATCCGCGCCCCGAATTTTGCTACGCTCTCCCTCTCTTCCTGCAATACTTTTGTTAGCCGATTTAATATTGCGAAAAAGTCCTCGGTACGCCCAAAATTTTGTCGCAATTTTTCTATAACTTCATCGATTGTTTCCGCTGTTTTCATGACTGTTCTCATACTGCCAACCGCAACGCCTGAAAGTCTGGACGCTAATTCGAAAATGAAGGTTCCTTCATCTCCGGCTTTTAACTTCGGAGTACAATATTCAATAGCATCGATAAATGGTTCAACATCGCCCTCTCCTGAAAATATCGGAATGTGTCTCATAAGCGATATGATGCGCTTCAGACGTCCTTCTTCTGTTTCCATCGTCACCGCTGTTTCTCTAGATAATTCTTCTTCTGGTTCGCTGTCCCAGACACCGCTCCCCGAAATGTCCTCTAACGTCTGTTCGTGTATTAGTGCGTCAAATGAAAGATCGTCAGTAGTAATGTTAGAACTTTCGGAACTATCGGCAGAGTCGCGTGATATGTTATCGCGCCACCCGTCGAACCGCGCCTGCCGATCCTCGACAACAGATTCTTTTATGAGATCAATTTTTGCGACTTACCTGAGTGCCAAGATGCTCAGTTGAATTGCGATCTGCATTTACTGTACTCCCGTGCCCTTTTCTAAATGATTGGCCGACCTTCTTATTTCTCGGACCCCTGTTGATGACGCGTTCTTTTGTTGCTGACCTTGACGTATCCTCTGCGTAGCTTGCGTCTCTCTTCTCTGTTTTTGATGCTTCTTCTTCTTTATTTCTCGATTCTAGGGACACTTATTTGAAGTTTCTCACTTTTCTCACTTTATATCCTTATTTCACTGTAATCCTTATTTTTTGCGGCACTTTGTTTGAACTCTCACTCTCTTTTTTCAATTTATTTTCTTATTTCACTTTAATCCTTATCTTCTTGGGGCACTTGTTTAATGGCTCTTTTTATTTTAATCACTCTACTATATTCAGTTACCTTATTTTCTCAATTGAACTTATTTCAATTCTTCCTATTTCAATCACTTTTCCTTTTCAATAATTTTCTCTTTTGTTTTCTCTATTATATCATTTTCTGTCAATTATTCTTCTTTTCCTGATTTCACTTTTCTTTCTTACTTATTTCTCTTATCTCGATACTTTTCCTATTTTCAATTAATCTTCTTTTTCTGATTACCTTTTTCAATATCAATTATTTCCCTATTACAATTCACTTTCTTACTTTCAATTATCTTCTCTATTTCGGTTCACTTTTTCTCAATTATCTTCTCTATTTCGGTTCACTTTTTCTCAATTATCTTCTCTATTTCGGTTCACTTTTTCTCAATTATCTTCTCTATTTCGGTTCACTTTTTCTTGATTATCTTCTCTATTTCAATTCACTTACTTTTATACCCGGGTATTTCTTAGAGTTCTCAGATTTTCCGATTTCTGGGTACTCACCACTAAATTTTCGTACAATTTACTTCACTCAATTCACTTAGCTGGGCGACAACCACGTTGGGCGCCAATTTTTCTGTTACGTGTGAGTCTACACCTGGTCATTTACTTGTCACATAAACAGACCTCCGGACTAGCTCAGCGTCTCACTGAAAAATATTTAGATGTTGAAAAGGGCGTGGGTCGCTCAGTGAATGAAGAATACACGTGAATTACGGTACTAATTGTTTATTGGGAGTCCCCAAAGCATGGGAGTTACCCAAAATGGCCCTGAGAGTCTCTTTTACAATCTAATTCTCTACTAAAGCGATTCTAAACAGACACAATATTATTCGATAAATGCAATACTAATGATTCTATTACAGAGAGAGAGAGAGAGAGAGAGATGGGACAGCAACGAGAATGAGAGTCTTAGGAGACAATTAATTACGATGCAAGACAGCTCGGACTTGATATAGATTCGGACAGACTAAATGACTGTCTGACTACAAGTGGCGGCCCGTCCCGACACTTCTAGGGTTTTTAACACCTCGGTCGTGAATGCCGTCAACACCTGTATCCCTGCGCGGAACTTGTATTGTTCCGCATACGAACTCAGATTATTCCGCCTTCGGGAACTAAGTGGTTATTGTCAAGTTCCTTAATCAGCAGAAAAAGGTATTAATGCGCCGAAAGCGGTTCCCTGTATGAGAGTACCTGTTAGCTCGGTTCCCATGAGAAAGTGTCTCATCAGCATCACGTGCAAGTAGCGACTCTCGGTAATCAGAGTCAGGCTAGAAGGACAACGGAAATTCGGTGTCTAATTTAGGCGGGCAAGTTGGCCCATCGATTTATAGAATATATATGATTTATCATAATGTTGACGGGAGGGTAGGCCCACCCGTCACAATTATTATTATTGTTATTATGATTATTATTATTTTTATTATTAATAATAATAATAATAATATATTATTATATTTTAATTGTTAATTCAATTTTTTATTTTAATTTGTAATTTAAATTCGAAAGAGCATGCGCACGCTCCATTTTTCATCTTTATCTATAGT